CCCCAGCGGCGGATCTGGTCTCGGGCTCCGCCGCCAACCAAGTTTCGGCCGCGGAGGGTAGGGAGAGCGGCGCCTCGCAATACCGACACTCCTCTCCCCCCGCGGCCCCACCACCACCGCATCAACGGTGCGGCCCCGTTTGAGTCGCGGAGGATAGGGCGAGTGGCGCATCGCCATACCAACACTCCTCTTCCTCCGCGACCCCACCTCGGCTGCAGCGGTAGAGGGTGCGGACTCCCCTCCCACCGCAGCCCCCCGACACACATCCGAAGTGGGCTTCCCAAGCCCACTCGGAGTGGCCACCTCGGGCCGGCCCTACACCACGGGCCAGCCAAGGGGTTCCTCTTTGTTCACCGTGGGTGACCAAGCCACGGCTACTAAGCCCCCCCGCCACGACAAGGCGGGAACCCGTTCGGGGGGGAGCCTAACCTAACCTAACCTAACCTAACCTAACCTAACCTAACCTAACCTAACCTAACCTAACCTTTTTTTTTTTTTTTTTTTTTTTTTTTTTTACATGGGGAAATGCCTACGCATACCCGCCTCGCGGGGGCAAGGACGGGTTATGTCGGACTCGCACCGACTAAAACCCCATGGTGTTCCACCCTCGTCGCATATTGGCAGGGCCACGGGAACGCTTTCGCACACTTCCGCGACCCCACCTGCGCTGGCCGCCCCATGGCGGCCCCTCCTCGGGAGAGGACCACTCCTCCCCCATCTCCTTCTCCGGTAAGGCGCACCAGAACACATGGCGCGCCCTCCTCCTCGGCCTCCAATTTCATATGCGCAACAGACGCCCCCGTGTCCGATGCGCGAAGGCCATGGGGCCAGGAAAAACTAGCACTAAGAAGAACCAGCCTTCCCGACCCCAGCGGCGGATCTGGTCTATGGCTCCGCCGCCAACCAAGATTCGGCTGCGGAGGGTAGGGAGAGCGGCGCCTCGCAATACCGACACTCCTCTCCCCCCGCAGCCCCACCACCACCGCATCATTCAACGGTGCGGCCCCGTCTGAGTCGCGGAGGATAGGGCGAGTGGCGCATCGCCATACCAACACTCCTCTTCCTCCGCGACTCCACCTCGGCTGCAGCGGTAGAGGGTTACGGACTCCCCTCTCACCACAGCCCCCCGACACACATCCGAAGTGGGCTTCTCAAGCCCACTCGGAGCGGCCACCTCGGGCCGGCCCCACACCTCGGGCCAGCCAAGGGGTTCCTCTTCGTTCACCGTGGTTGACCAAGCCACGGCTACCAAGCCCCCCCGCCACGACAAGGCGGGAACCCGTTCGGGGGGGAACCTAACCTAACCTAACCTAACCTAACCTAACCTAACCTAACCTAACCTAACCTAACCTAACCTAACCTAACCTAACCTAACCTAACCTAACCTTTTTTTTTTTTTTTTTTTCGTGGGGAAATCCTCATGGATACCTCCGGCTGTGGGGGCAACCGGAAGGTTATGCCGGACTCCTACCGGCTAAAACCCCACGGTGCCTCCTCGCACGTGCGCGCGGGGCCGCGGGAATCCAAATTCTTCCGCAGCCCTACACTAGTGCTGGCCCGGTCTGTTCGGGCCTCGTCTCCTGTACGGGGTAGCGAGGTGTTCAGCTACCCCCCTCCACAGCCTCCAACTCCACCTGCGTATCGGACCCCCCCGAGTCCGATACGCGGAGGCCATGGGGCCAGGAAAATCGAGCGCTTATTAGCGCCCGCTATCCCGACCCCAGCGGCGGATCTGGTCTATGGCTCCGCCGCCAACCAAGATTCGGCTGCGGAGGGTAGGGAGAGCGGCGCCTCGCAATACCGACACTCCTCTCCCCCCGCAGCCCCACCACCACCGCATCAATTAACGGTGCGGCCCCGTCTGAGTCGCGGAGGATAGGGCGAGTGGCGCATCGCCATACCAACACTCCTCTTCCTCCGCGACTCCACCTCGCTGCAGCGGTAGAGGGTGCGGACTCCCCTCTCACCGCAGCCCACCAACACACATCCGAAGTGGGCTCGTCAAGCCCACTCGGAGTGGCCACCTCGGGCCGGCCCTACACCTCGGGCCAGCCAAGGAGTTCCTCTTTGTTCACCGCGGTTGACCAAGCCACGGCTACTAAGCCCCCCCGCCACGACAAGGCGGGAACCCGTTCGGGGGGGGAACCTCACCTAACCTAACCTAACCTAACCTAACCTAACCTAACCTAACCTAACCTTTTTTTTTTTTTTTTTTTACATGGGGAAATGCCTACGCATACCCGCCTTGCGGGGGCAAGGACGGGTTATGTCGGACTCGCACCGACTAAAACCCCATGGTGTTCCACTCTCGTCGCATATTGGCAGGGCCACGGGAACGCTTTCGCACACTTCCGCAGCCCCGCCTGCGCTGGCCGCCCCAAGGCGGCCACTCCCCGGGAGAGGACCACTCCTCCCCCATCTCCCTCTCAGGTAAGGCGCACCAGAACACATGGCGCGCCCTCCTCCTCGGCCTCCAATTTCATATGCGCAACGGACGCCCCCGCGTCCGATGCGCGAAGGCCATGGGGCCAGGAAAAACTAGCACTCAGTAGCACCAGCCTTCCTGACCCCAGCGGCGGATCTGGTCTATGGCTCCGCCGCCAACCAAGATTCGGCTGCGGAGGGCAGGGAGAGCGGCGCCTCGCAATACCGGCACTCCTCTCCCCCCGCAGCCCCACCACCACCGCATCAATCAACGGTGCGGCCCCGTCTGAGTCGCGGAGGATAGGGCGAGTGGCGCATCGCCATACCAACACTCCTCTTCCTCCGCGACTCCACCTCGGCTGCAGCGGTAGAGGGTGCGGACTCCCCTCTCACCGCAGCCCCCGACACACATCCGAAGTGGGCTCGCCAAGCCCACTCGGAGTGGCCACCTCGGGCCGGCCCTACACCACGGGCCAGCCAAGGGGTTCCTCTTTGTTCACCGTGGGTGACCAAGCCACGGCTACTAAGCCCCCCCGCCACGACAAGGCGGGAACCCGTTCGGGGGGGAACCTAACCTAACCTAACCTAACCTAACCTAACCTTTTTTTTTTTTTTTTTTTACATGGGGAAATGCCTACGCATACCCGCCTCGCGGGGGCAAGGACGGGTTATGTCGGACTCGCACCGATTAAAACCCCATGGTGTTCCACCCTCGTCGCATATTGGCAGGGCCACGGGAACGCTTTCGCACACTTCCGCGGCCCCACCTGCGCCGGCCACCCCCATGGCGGCCCCTCCTCGGGAGAGGACCACTCCTCCCCCATCTCCTTCTCCGGTAAGGCGCACCAGAACACTTGGCGCGCTCTCCTCCTCGGCCTCCAATTTCATATGCGCAACAGTCGCCCCCGTGTCCGATGCGCGAAGGCCATGGGGCCAGGAAAAACTAGCACTAAGAAGCACCAGCCTTCCCGACCCCAGCGGTGGATCTGGTCTATGGCTCCGCCGCCAACCAAGATTCGGCTGCGGAGGGTAGGGAGAGCGGCGCCTCGCAATACCGACACTCCTCTCCCCCCGCAGCCCCACCACCACCGCATCATTCAACGGTGCGGCCCCGTCTGAGTCGCGGAGGATAGGGCGAGTGGCGCATCGCCATACCAACACTCCTCTTCCTCCGCGACTCCACCTCGGCTGCAGCGGTAGAGGGTTGCGGACTCCCCTCTCACCACAGCCCCCCGACACACATCCGAAGTGGGCTTCCCAAGCCCACTCGGAGTGGCCACCTCGGGCCGGCCCTACACCTCGGGCCAGCCAAGGGGTTCCTCTTCGTTCACCGTGGTTGACCAAGCCACGGCTACTAAGCCCCCCCGCCACGACAAGGCGGGAACCCGTTCGGGGGGGAACCTAACCTAACCTAACCTAACCTTTTTTTTTTTTTTTTTTTACATGGGGAAATGCCTACGCATACCCGCCTCGCGGGGGCAAGGACGGGTTATGTCGGACTCGCACCGACTAAAACCCCATGGTGTTCCACCTCGTCGCATATTGGCAGGGCCACGGGAACGCTTTCGCACACTTCCGCGGCCCCACCTGCGCTGGCCACTCCAAGGCGGCCCCTCCTCGGGAGAGGACTACTCCTCCCCCATTTCCCTCTCCGGTAAGGCGCACCAGAACACATGGCGCGCCCTCCTCCTCGGCCTCCAATTTCACATGCGCAACGGACGCCCCCGTGTCCGATGCGCGAAGGCCATGGGGCCAGGAAAAACTAGCACTCAGAAGCACCGGTCTTCCTGGCCCCAGCGGCGGATCTGGTCTATGGCTCCGCCGCCAACCAAGGTTCGGCTGCGGAGGGTAGGGAGAGCGGCGCCTCGCAATACCGACACTCCTCTCCCCCCGCAGCCCCACCACCACCGCATCATTAACGGTGCGGCCCCGTCAGAGTCGCGGAGGATAGGGCGAGTGGCGCATCGCCATACCAACACTCCTCCTCCTCCGCGACTCCACCTCGGCTGCAGCGGTAGAGGGTGCGGACTCCCCTCTCACCGCAGCCCCCCGACACACATCCGAAGTGGGCTTCCCAAGCCCACTCGGAGTGGCCACCTCGGGCAGGCCCTACACCTCGGGCCAGCCAAGGGGTTCCTCTTTGTTCACCGTGGTTGACCAAGCCACGGCTACTAAGCCCCCCCGCCACGACAAGGCGGGAACCCGTTCGGGGGGGAACCTAACCTAACCTAACCTAACCTTTTTTTTTTTTTTTTTTTTTTTACGGGGGGAAATCCTCATGGACTACCTCCGCCCGGGGAAAGGCGGAGGGGCGTGCCGGACTCTTACCGGCTAAAACCACCCCGGTGTCTCCTCACACGTGCGCGTGGGGCCGCGGGAATCCAAATTCTTCCGCAGCCCCACACTAGTGCTGGCCCGGTCCGTCCAGGCCTCGTCTCCTGCACGGGGTAGTGAGGTGTTAAACTACCCCGTGTATCGCCTCAGGGGCGCGCGCCGACACCCGCGCGCGCCTCCGCCTCGGGTCCATCGAGTAGGGGTGGCGGGGGCTTCCCCAAGTCCCTCGCCCCTGGACCCATTTATGGGGGGCGGAAAAGGGCGTTGTCCGCCCTTCTCCTGCGCCCGGTGCGCCTTCTGCGGCCGGGGAAGGGAGTCGAGATCTCCCTTTCCCGTTCCGCAGTTTCCTTCTGCGACATCACGTCCTCGCAGAAGGACACCACTGCATCCCACGACTCTGCGCTACCGACCATCTTCTGCACTAAGGCCGGCAGCGACAGATCGCCTCCTACTTTATTTGTGAGGACACGGCGCTGCTCCTCCCAAGCTACACACTCGGCGAGCGTGTGTTGCGCCGTGTCCTCCCCGCAATGGACGCAGTGGTGGCACCGAGCGTCCGGCTCCCTGTCTATGCGGCGCAGGTACTTGCCGAAGCAGCCATGCCCCGACAGCACCTGCGTCATCCTAAACGACAGGGAGCCGTGCCTTCTCCCGAGCCAGTCGTCGAGTACTGGCCGGATCGCCTCGACGGTAGCGAGGCCTGCGGTAGGGCGCAGAAGCCTTTGCCGCCATTCCGCCACCAAGACCTGACGGAGCTCCTCTCGGCGCAGCGCGATCTGCCGCTGCACCGGCCTCGAGCCCCGTGCCCGCTCTTCCTCGCGCCATCGATATAATGACGCGAGTACTTTCGCCTCTAGGTCCCAGGGCGGGGATCCGGCCAGGACGCAAGCCGCCTCGTAGGAAATCGTGCGATACCCGCGGGCGACTCTGACGGCCATCGCCCTCTGCGGTTTACGCAGAATGGCGAGAGTGCTGGCCGTCATGTCCATCGCCCACACAGGGGCCCCATACAGGGCCATGGACCGCACGATTCCCACGTACAACCGCCTACAGGCGGCGCTCGGGCCCCCCAAGTTGGGAAGCAACGTTGATAGCGCGCCCGCTGCACCCATCAGCTTGGGCGCCAGCCGCCGGAAGTGGGGTCCGAATTCCCATCGGCTGTCGAGCACCAATCCCAGATACTTCATGGTGGACTCGACAGCTATCCGGGCCCCGCTGACCACGATGTGTGAACCCGGCGGCGGCGCGCGTCGAGGGCCATGGAACACCATGGCCTCCGACTTATTTAGGGCCACCTCCAGGCCCAGGCGCCGGATGCGGTTCACTACTTGTGACACCGCAGCCGTGGCAACCAACGCTGCTTCCCTGTGCGAACTCCCCCGGGCAGTGACGAGCGTGTCGTCCGCATAACACGTCAAGTCGGCGCCCGACGGGAGTTCACCTCTCAGCACCCAGTCGTAGCCGATGTTCCACAGGAGCGGTCCCAAGACCGATCCCTGCGGAACACCGCACGACATAACGCGCCGACCAGCGCCGTCACGTCCCCAATAGGTAACGCATCTCTCCTCAAGGTAAGCCCCTATTGTGCGGCGGAGGTAGGGAGGCACGCGATGGTAATTCAGCGCCTCCCGAATACAACTCCAGGGTAGGGTGTTGAAGGCGTTGGAGATGTCTAAGGACACCGCCAGCACCACCCCACCCCGGGATACTGTCTCCTCCGCCAGGGCCCTCACGCGCGTAATAGCGTCTATGGTGGAGCGCCCGCGACGAAAACCAAACTGGTTCTCGTCCAGGTCCGGCCCCTCTCTGCACAAGTGGCTGACGAGGCGATCTGCGATGATGCGCTCAAGAAGTTTGCCCGCCTCGTCGAGCAGCACTATGGGCCGGTACGCGGACGGTGAGTCCGCGGGGCGCCCCTCCTTCCTGAGCAGGACTAGCCTCCCCTCCTTCCACACACTGGGAAACTGACCCTGCTCGAGACATGCCGTGAAGAGCCCTCTCAGCTGGGGCTCTAGCTCCTTCAGAGCCAGGACGAGAGCTCGACCAGGAACTCCGTCGGGTCCGGGCGCTGTGTTCTTAGCCCGGAGTCGCGACACGGCCACTCTCGTCTCTGTTTGCGTCACCTCGGGGACATCGGTGCTCTCCTCTTCTGGAGAGTCTATGGCTGAGGGCGAAGCCATCGCCGGGGGAACGTGTCCCACTCGCTCAGGGAAGAGAGCCGATACCACCGCCTCTAGCAACTGGGGTTGCATCGTTTGTGTTAGTGGAGGCGCCCAGGGACGCAACTTGCCCCGTACCCAACGGTAGGGGCGCCCCCACGGATCCCGATCTAGGGATCCCAGCAGCTCTTCCCTGGCACGCGACTTTGAGTCGCCGATGGCCAGCCACAGAGTCTCCTTAGACGCGCGGTACACCTCATACAGCGCGTCCTCCTCGGCGGGATCCCGTCGACGCCGCCTCCGGTATCGGGTGTACCGGCGACGTGCCGCAACGCACGCTATGCGCAATTGCGCGATCTCGGCGGTCCACCAGTACACCTGGCGCCTTGCGGACCGTTGGTGGACACGGGGCATGGACGCGTCGCAGATCTGCGTCATCGCCCCGCGAAACCATAGCGCCACCGCTTCGACGTCGACGGGGCCGTCCGTCGTCGACTCCCGAATCCAGGACTGGACTAGGGCAGCTTCTTCGAGTAGTTCCCTGTCGATGCGCTTAAGCGCCCAACGCGGGCCGTCGTTAATCGGGGTTGTTGGATGGCGGCCGCTCGCAGTCTGGGCAGAGACGTCGAACCGGATATACCGATGGTCCGACAGCGTCTCCACCTCTGCGGCGACACGCCAGTCGCGGACTCGGCTGGCGACAGAGGGGCTAGCAAACGAGACGTCCACTATCGACCCACCCCGCTGCCGCACGCATGTGTATTCCGAACCCCGATTCAGGACGACCAGACCAGTCGTCACCGTCCACTCTTCTAACACCTCGCCCCGAGGGTCAGTGACCGGAGATCCCCACGCCGATGACTTGGCGTTGAGATCCCCGAGCACCAGAACGGGACGAGGGTGATAGCGGCCTACGACGGCGCCCAACTCGACAAGGAAACCCTCAAAGTCGGCGAGACTCTTGTTGGGGGAGAAATACGCCCCTACAATAACGATGCCGCCCGAGACCGCAGCAACCCAGCCGCGGCCCCGAGACGGGTCGCTCAGAGTCTCGCCAATAATGGCCACCAAACCGTCAGCGCATCCCAACCAGTTGTCACGGGCGGGAATGAAGTACGGTTCGGCGACCACAGCCACGTGAATCGACCACTCTGCCATGCTCTGGAGTAGGAGATCCTGAGCTCTGGCACAGTGGTTGATGTTGCCCTGGAGGAAATGGAGAGAATGGAATCGTGCCATTATTGACATTCCATCCCCTCGGCAACGGTCCTGGGCCGGGAGTCGGCCGCGGAGCTGCTAGCCTGCGAGGGCAGCGAGGTTAACCCGGCAGGCTTAGTGCTCCTCTTCTTTTCCTTTTTCTTTTTCTTGCTGGCAGGCGCCCCACAAGCCCTTCCGCCTACTCTGTGTTCCGCTGGCCTTCCCGCAGCAGAACAAAGGCTGCAGTTGAGCGCCGCGGAGCACAGGGCAGCCTTGTGGCCAGGCTGGCCGCAGCGATAACAGAGGTCACTACGGTCAACCTCGGCGGTGCACTTCGCCCGGACGTGCCCTTTTTCCAGACACCGAAAGCACTGCAAAGCCCGGGGCTGTAAGAGCTTGGTCCTTGCCGCCACCCAGCCTACCAGCAATCTGCCGCTATCGGCGATCTTCTTTGCCGACGCTACAGGGCACCGAACCCAGACCGCGCCGAGTCCGGTGGCGTCGGTGCGTATATCGCCAGCCCGCACCTTGTCCGGCGGACACTCTCCGCTTCTGGCAACGGCCGCCACCACCTCCTCTGAGGTCACGGAGTCGTCCAGGCCAGCAATCCGCACCTCTGCGGTTTTCATTGGCCTGGAGACCCGGACGTCCTCTGGGTTGAGGACCTCCCTCATCTTGGCGGCAAGTGCGTCCGCCTTTTCGGCACTGCCGCTCACAGTGCCAGCCACCTCGAACAGTCGTGCACCCGTGGCAGCCTGCCTGAGGGTTACGGACTGAAGGCCAAGATCAGATAATTTGATCTTGGCCTTGGCCTCGGCGATGACCGACTGGTACGTCACGCCACGCTCCACAGCTCCAGGCTGCAACGTTATTGTTACGGCGTTGGACCGCGGAACATGTACAGCCGGTCTCTTGCGACCGCCTTTGGCAGTCCGCTGTGCAGGTTTAGGAGCCGTCTTTGCGGTTCCACCTGGGGCACATGCGGCTGCTGCGGCCTTCTTGGTGGCTTTGCGGGCCTTCTTGCGGCCCACGACTTTCGCCCAGGTCTCACCCTTAGACCCGGCAGTCGTGGGCTGGTTGCTCGGAGGAGCTCCCTCCGCGGGCTTTTTGTTACCCTCCGCGGGCTTCCCCTTTTGAGGCGCAAGTCTCGGCGGCTCCTCAGTCCTCCGCGTGTCAGCCGCTAAAGGCGGACGGAGGATTTCCACCGGGAGACGCTGAGAAATTGCCTCCAGCCGAGCGTTAACCATGCTCCCGCACTGGAGCATGCAGAGCCGGACAATGCGCTCGACCTCTTCGTCGGTACGAGGGCTTGCCGGTCGCAGTGCGGGAGTCGGGTCCACTACAGGTGCGGCATCGCTGGACGTGCGTTGCTGCTGCTGCTCGCTTAGCGCAGCAACTTGCCGCCGGAGGTCCTCCAAGTCATTTCTGAGGCGGCTGTTTTCCTCCTGTAACTTTGCGACCTCGTCAGAGGCCGTCCTGTTGAGGAGGATGCCAACCGCCTCCCTGATATCCGCGGCAGCCTCCTTTAAGCCACGGGTGAACGTGCCCTTCAGGCTGCCGGACTTGGTGGCAACCTTCAGGACTAAGTCCACCCCATCCAAAGCCAGCTGGCTTAAGGCCACCGCAGATGGCTCTCCCCCTTCCGCCGCAAGAGCAGCTCGTCGCTCGCGAGCACGTCGGGCCATTTCCGACACTTCGTCGGCCGCGACGGCTTTGCGCTGCTCCCTCTTGGCGGCATTGAGCTCCGCCTTTGAGCTCCCCAGCGAGGCACAGCTTTCACCGCCATCGCCAGGGTCCTCCGTAGTGAACCCCATGTCACTATCTGCTTCGCTAGCCGCCGAGGTATTGGAGCACACGAACCGTCCGTGCTTATCCCTCCGCGGCTGCGAAGTACTCGCCCCTCTCGATGCCTGCCGACCCCTCCCCGAAGTCGGCAACTTGGGGGCCGGCAGGCCTTCCTCGTCTGACGATCGGCACACTGGACGTTTCCTAGCGGAAGACGTCCCACGCGATCGATTTCCGCCGCTACCAGTATCTGATCCTGCCTTTTCTACCTCTACTGTTTTTTTTAAATATTTTTCTTTGTCCATTTTTATCCCACGAGTGTGGAGGAAATAACAGTCCATCCGAGCAGAGCCCCCTTTGCCCGGATAAGCCTATGCGTAACCCGTCAAGGGTGTCGGCCGGTACCCCGACGGGGGCAACGCTAACGACTGAACATTAACCCATCAGCCATGCAGCTCCTCACGGCGTGCCACGCTTGAGCTTCGGGTGATTTTTTAAAGAGGTTATCATCCTCGCGACTCCAGGCGGTTAAGCCAAGAGCCCTCGGCCCCTTAGGCGCCGCGAGACGTGATCCACGATACGCCATAGGGATTCCGAGGTTCGAATGGTGGCAGAGTCGATACGGGTTCTTCCCATGCCTGCCCAGAGACCGGGTTAGGGAACACTGAGCCCATTCAGTTTCCTTTTTTACAGGGTGTGGTCCCTGAAAATCCCGCGATTACGGGTTGCCCGGCGTCGGCAAAAGCCGAGTGCACCTGGCACCTCACCGCGCATGTCACATTCTCTGTTCCTCTCAAGGGAGAGGATACAGGAAGCAACTAATAGGCCCTCCGCTATGCAAACAAGCCCTCACCCAGCCAGTTTTGGTCCGCGACGGTTTCCCGCTACCACCCATATCTGAGTGGCGTTCCCCTATCCGCCACCTGGGGACGCGCCCGATGGGAGCTCTGGCAACTCCACACGGGAACCTAACCTAACCTAACCTAACCGAGAAGTTCGCGCCATCCGTCGAATCGTTAGCATCGTTTTAAGTGAGCTCCGCGTTCAAAAATCAGGAAAAATAGTTAATTTAGTGTCACGGTGAAGTGCAATATATCAAATTGTGCGGAAAAGTGTCGGCTTTAAGTTGGATGCAGTGGTGGCAAGTACACGATTTCGCCTGAAGGAATATTGGCGAGTTTATGCCAAATTTCATAAAAATCAGGTAAAATTTGACCATATTTTGCTAAACGCTGCAAAAACTAAAGCTGTTACATATACTTTTTTTGATCCCAAAATTTGACGCCCTGCACTGTGCGCATTTTCTTTGTTTTTCCGGAATTTTTGAGTAAGAAAATACTAAGTTATAAGGGTTTTTCTCGGAACCACGTGGCCACGTGTTTTGGGAATTCGAAGTGTGCAGCTGAATTTGATTTTGTATTTTGATAGTCCCTTTTAAGACCTTTAATTTGGTGTATTGCAAATAAAAATCGGTGCACTCTATAAGATTTTACAGTGTAATAACCGGATAATTATATTAATTTGAAACTTTAATACAAAATAACTCGAAAAGTAAATCGAGAACATATCTTTTTTAATTCGAATATATGAAGTACAAAAAATATTCTAATATTTTGTAAAATCTCAGATTTTTCTCGCAAGAAAATACTGAGATATTCTCAATTTTGTAAAATTTGTTGGACACGTGGTCCCACTTCTGAAGGTTCTACAATGTCAAATAGCTAATATATTGAAGCAGATAAAAAATTGCAAGTAATTAACCCTTTTTTCAAAATTTTCTGACTTGTCAGTCAAAAGTTATTGATATTTTTACTATTTTTGCATTTTATTTAAATTTAATTACAAAAAGTATATAATTTAATGATATAAGTCAATAGAGCGCACCGAGACCGATCTAGCGATACCAAGGTCGGGGGGTCTATCTCTTTCCGTCTCTGAGATATACAAAATTTTAATTTCGGACGCCATCTTGGAAAAACGTCAGAAACTTTGTTCGAAGATATCTCGATAACCGCTACTCGTAGAAGGTTGCGGTTTTCATTGAACGTATTCGTATAAATAGAGGATCATTTAGGGGTGAATAAACAAACACTTTTTGAGCACACCTTTTTATAGCCATAACTGGATTGCCGACAGCGTGCTGAGAAGATTGAGCCCAAACTCGGTTATTTTAGGAGCACTGGAGAGGCAGTAAAACAAAATCTAGATTTGGTCAGCCATCTTGTTCCGCCATATTGTCGAATTTCAATATACCATATCTTTGGAACGGAGGCTCCTATCGAGTTGCGGTTTTCGGTAAAGTAATTGAAAGATTCAGCTCTATCGATTGAACGCCCTACTAACTCTACATAGAGTCTGCGAAAGATACTCCAGAACGGTGATTCCTAGGACACAGCGTTTTTCAGCATAGTTGCTAGTGAGCTTCACCCTTACATACTCTTCTTTGTAATAAACTTGCTGACTCTACATAGAGCTTTAAAATCAACTGTAATAAAAAAAAAAAAAAAAAAAAAAAGAGGATAATGTCGGTTAAATCTAGTAAATCGTGTGTTGAAATGGCAAAAAACAAAGCCACTACAGTCAGTCCCTCATCAGCTCCAAAATTACGAAAAAAAAAAAAAAAAAAAAAGTCCTCATTCACAACGCAGCCTCTTCCCAACAAGTCGCAGAAGATGCAGAGAATATTGATAGGAGAATCACTGCGAAAGGTGAGGCCATTCACGGGTCGGACTCAAGTAATCTCACAATGGGAGAATCGACCGAGCAAGTAAACATGATGAAAACAAAAGAACCGCAAACTGCCACTGACAATAGCACTTCTTTGGACATTGAGGCTGAGCTTGGTCTTCTGGGATTATGCAAACCAGTGCACCGCACGGATGATGAGTGGTCGGATGTCGAAAGCATCGTAAGTGGAGATAGTAGGAGGTCTAGCATCTTGCCACCTGCGTACAAAAGAGCTGGCATTTCCATGGATCTCGCAACACAGAGGGCAAATGACTTCTTGCTCGCTGGCAAAGAGGCCCTGGAAAAAGCCGGAAACATGAAGCGCGAGTGCAAGCAGGAGGTACATGATTGCTTACAAGGCCTCTATGAAACAGTGCTGTCACTCTCTGACTCACGCTCTCGTCATCGACTGGCATTAGAACAGGAACGCAGTCGAGCAGCGAAAGAGTTGGTGAGAGTCGAAAGAGCACATACAAAACAACTAACAGAGCTTCAGTCCACTTACACTCAAAGACTTAAAGTTATCCAAGATATAATGCACGAAACGCAGAAATCGACAGAGGCGATAAGAGGGTGGTTAAATTACGAAATGGATGACCCTATCAAAGCGATATACAAAATAAAACAAGTAATATACGAAATATCAACCAAAACAAGCAAGGAACCACCTACTTGCATCGCTGATGAACACCTAAAGCAAGGGCAAACACATAATAGTGAAGAATTGGCGTCAATAGCAAATCAAGTAAATGACATCATGGAAAAGATTAAAGAACTAGATTCTGACATCAACGTCTTTAAAAATAACGTAGCGGATAAAGAAAGTATTGAACACATTGCACTGGCTCTGAACTCATGGAAAGATCCTCGCATTGATGATATTGCCAGCAACATATCCAATGTCAAACATACAATCCAGGATATGCAAACACGAGCCCTGAATGTAACATCCCCACAGTCAACATCTATAGATAGTATATCTACAGCCATAGAACCAGTGTTATTTAGAATAGACAAAATCACTGAGGACATAAAGGAATTAAGAGATTACGGAGTGAGCCAAAGTGCGTTTCAGAACAACTCAGGTTTGGGCACAGAGCTGGCAATTGCGGAAATCAGAGACAAGCTTAATCATCTGGAGACATGCAACTGCAGCAACATAACGAACAAAACAACAGAAAGTCCCAAAAATGTCGTAATAAAAGAACAACAAGCCGCTCGCCAAATAAAATCTTATCCAGAAGCACTTACTTCACCACGATTTGCTCTTGTTGTTGAATCATCGGATCCCAGACATACGAGCGAAGATGTTGTCAACACAATAAAGAACAACATCGACGTGGTACAACTTGGAGTGGGGGTTAACAATATAAGAAGGATAAGAAATCAGAAGGTGCTACTATCATGCGACAATGACGAGGACCGAGAAAAGCTTCAAAATGCAATTAGAAACTCGGACAAGAAGCTAACAGTCTCAAAGTCAACAGCCAAAAACCCACTGCTTAAATTAATAGGAGTAGCTAATGATCTTAATAATACAAAACTAGAAGAAGCATTAGTTAACCAAAATATTAAGCTCCTAAAACACATAGAAATGGAAAATATAAAGACTAAAGTATTGAGAAGAATTAAAGGGCGAACGGCGGCAATTAACAATATAATATTAGAAGTAAGCCCTGAGGTCTGGAAAGCACTGAAAGACCAAAGAGTGCATGTGGGGTACCAAATAGTACCCGCCCTAGACCAATCTCCCGTTGTGCAATGCTACCGATGTATGGGCTTTGGGCATAGGGCTAGAGAATGCAGGGCAGATAAATGAACTTGCGGATATTGTGCAGAGGACCACGACAGCAGAGAATGTCCACGCAGCAATGGAGCACCAACTTGCGCAAACTGCACTAGGAACAAATTTGTAGGTGATCTCAGCCACCCAGCATACAGCAATGAATGTTCAGTGTGGAAGAAATGGGATCGCATAGCCAGGTCCTCGGTAGCATATTGCTAAGGTAAATCAGGATATTAACATCGATCAATCGCAGTCAAGTAGATACTCCTCTGGAAATTATGCACCAAATTCAATCTTAGCAGATACACAAACTATAAAATTAGTACAGGTAAACCTTGGCCGAGGAATGGCAGCGTCTAAAGAATGTCTTCAAATGGCAATAAGCCAACGCATAGCGTTACTTCTACTGCAAGAACCATATGTAGGTGCAAAAGCACATGTAACCTGTAATCGTCACGTAATTCAAAAACCTACTAGTAACAGAGATAAACCGGTTAAATCGGCAGTCATCGTTGTTGATCCAACTTACTTAATCATAGAAAATCCAGAGCATGTTAGCGAAAATATAGTAGGGTTTATAGTTAAAATAGGAAAATTTGAAGTAGGCATTATAAATGTATATTTAGAGAAAGACGGTAACATAGAAGAAGATACAAGGAAGATAACAAGAATTGTGCATGATATGGCTACGGAAAACGTTATCCTAACAGGCGACTTTAATGCAAGGAGTCTCTGGTGGGGGAGCAGAGCGGAGGACAAGAGGGGTTTACTTTTATCGGAAATGATAGCTGAACTGGATATGAATGTTTTAAATCAGGGCAGTGAATCCACTTTTTACCAATACCGAGGAGGAAAGTTATATAGCAGCATAGTGGATGTGACCTGCTGTACGTCGGCAATCCTACATAAAATGGAAAGATGGAGGGTTGACCCTAATTTTGTTACACTATCTGATCATCGAGCCATACAATTTCAAATGAAGGTCAAAACGGATAAACAGAGTGTCGCGGTCAGAAATTCTACTCGCTTATTTAATACAGCCAAGGCAAACTGGTCTCTCTTCAGAAACGACCTTAAAGAAAAATTAGAAAAGGAGAACGTAACAGAAAATAAAATAAAAACCATAGATACACCAGAGGAATTGGATGATATCGTGGACTCATATGTCAAACAAGTAAAATTAGCCTGCCAGAAATCCATACCAACTATCTCTAAGAATGTATATAAAACCTGTACACCATGGTGGAACACGCAGCTAGAAGCAGAACGATGCAAAGATATACGACTCAGAAGAAGAATAAAATTTGCCAATGAGAGACGAAAACCGTACGTTATCCAGGATTTTGTAGAAGCAAAAGAAAAATATATTAATAATATAATGACAGCAATAACTACGAGCTGGAAAGAACTATGCACTAAACAAGAAAAAGAAACTGTATGGCAAAGTATGTACAGAATAATAAAAAAATGTAGCGCATCTAACCAAGACAAACTGCTGAAATCAGGCGATGAAATTCTTAACGCTAATGACTCAGCAATGTTATTGGCAAAATCTTTTTACCCAGATGACGATAAAAACATAGATACTGAAGAACAAACCAGAATACGAGATAAAGCGGATAAAATAACTAAAGAACTTAGAAAAAGCACGACCATTTCTCATCGTAGTTTTACAGAGATAGAAATAGAGGCAGTTCTAGATAAAATGGACCCCAAAAAGGCGCCTGGCGAAGATGGCATCACGTCAGATATTTGCTATCAGTCATATAAGACCATGCCTTCAACACTAATGGCTATCTACAACAAGAGTCTCGAAATAGGTTATTTCCCAAAGATCTGGAAAAATACCATAATAAAATAATTCCAAAACCGAACAGAGAGGACTACACAGTTCCCAAAGCTTACCGCCCTATTGGCTTACTTCCTATATTTGGAAAGATATTAGAGAAACTTTTTGTAACCAGGCTTCTTTGGCAATTGGGAAAAGAGGGTAAACTTAACAGCCGACAATACGGGTTCATGCCGCAACGTAGTACAGAAGACGCCTTGTACGACGCTATCTCCTTTATAAAACAGGGGATCAAGGAAAAAAAGATTGTTGTTGTGGTATCCCTCGATATAGAAGGGGCATTTGACAATGCATGGTGGCCTCAAATAATAAATGAAATGCATAGAAAACAAGTGAGTCAAGATATTCTGAGACTGATTACTAGTTACCTATCTTCGAGGAGTATCACGCTAAAATATGCAGGTGCAGTAGTTACCAAATCTACCACCAAGGGGTGTATTCAGGGATCTACTTGCGGGCCTATACTTTGGAATATTCTCCTGGATCCCCTCCTCGAAAGTACATCACATCTGAAGGTACACGTTCAGGCGTTTGCCGACGATATACTTGTGATCGCAAAAGGCCAATCAGCCAAAGCAATTGAAGAAGAACTGAATCCAGCCTTGGACCACATAGTGTCATGGGGGAAAACACATAAGCTAAAATTTGCACCACAGAAAACACAAGCAGTAATAATTACTAAAAAACTATCTCCCGCATTGCCGCAAATAAAAATGGGGAATGTTTATGTCCAACCATCAGCGAGTGTAAAGGTACTTGGAGTCACAATTGATAAAAATCTAAACTTTACAGAACCCATTGAGGAAGCCCTAACAAAAGCTATCAATTTATATAAAAAAGTTTCTAGAACAGCAAAATCACACTGGGGACTAAACTCCGAAATAATAAAGACTATTTATGTTGCAGTAGTGGAACCAACGATCCTATACGCGGCAAGTGCCTGGGCCGCAGTGGTAAAGAAGGATTATGTGAAGAAGAAACTAGACCGTATCACAAGAATGTTTGCTATCTTGATCTGCAAAGGACATAGAACAGTCTCATTTACTTCCAGCGTTCTACTAGCGGGCATATTTCCTCTGGATTTCAGAGCAATAGAACATCTTAAACTCTATGAAATAAAACGAGGGAAGGCGCTAACCCAACTTCCAGGAATAATTGGTGAAAAACCAGTGAACCCATTTTACCTACCACATCCAGCCGACAGGTATCGTATCGCCTTTGAAATAATTACCTCAGAAGAAGAAGAAAAAATTACTGATTCCCAACAACCAAAATTATACACAGACGGAAGCAAAATTCAAGGTAAAGTCGGAGGAGCTGTAACAGTATGGAAAAACCATCAGGAAGTACGGAAATCGACATTCAGGCTGGAAAATTACTGCAGTGTCTATCAAGCTGAACTCACGGCAATCTTAAGAGCATTGGAACTGATGCACAAACACAAAGACCTAAGGAAAGGCATCATCTTAAGTGATTCACGCTCTGCCTTAGAATGCCTGAGCGATACATCGTCTCTGCATCCATTAGCTGTAGAAATACGAGATCGAATAAAGTCACTATTAGACAAAGGAGGCGAGGTTAACCTTTGCTGGATCAAAGCACACATCGGAATAGCCGGTAATGAAAGAGCCGATGAACTGGCGAAATATGCTGCGCTTTCGAACAAGCAAACTCCAGTATACGATAAATTCCCCCTGTCCTTCGCAAAGCGACTTGCCCGGGACTCTACTTGCGTAGAGTGGCAGTTACGATACAGTGAAGCTACTACGGGAGCTGTAACAAAGAAATTCCTACCGGACATAAAAGAAGCATATAGAACACTCAAGCATATAAAAATAGACAATTTAAAAGTACAACTACTAACAGGTCATGGAGGTTTTAGGGCTTATTTATATAAATATAAGCTAGCTCAGTCTCCATCTTGTGTTTGCAGTAACGATGAAGAAGAAAATATCGAACATTTATTAATAGACTGCCCTAGATTCGCCATACAAAGACTTGAATGTGAACAAAAGATGGGGATGATGCTTACAGTTTATAATTTAAGGCATGCAATCAACAACGATGACTGTCGGACCCATTTCCTTAAGTTTTCAGAAGCAGTGGTACGCACTGCGGGTAAGGCTAATGGATCCAAATTAGTTTAAGTTATAATATAAGATGATAAGCCTTATATGGTTGGAGTAACAAAGTGTTCCATTAAGAGATAAATGGAAGATTTTGTTCTTTCAAAGTATTATTTATTATATAAATCAAAAGAAATATTAATAAATTGGCCTATACCACTCAAAAAAAAAAGAATATATTATAGAAAAAAAAAAGTACAAAAAAGAATCTGTAAAAAGAAAAAAGGGGAAAAAAAGAGAAAGAAAAAAAAAAAGAAAGAAAAAAGAAAAGAAAAAAAAGAGAAATAAAAAAAAAAGCAAACTAATAATAATTAAAAAAAAAATGGGTGGCGCCCTCTGTACTCTCTAATAATCTAAGTTAAGTACACTACTTTATTTTAACTTTAGAGGTAAGTAAACTTCAGTTTGGATTATAGACAACACTGTAAGAATGAAAGTAGAAAAAGAAAAAAAAATAGTAAAATAGTAAAATTTTAAGCTACTATCAATAGTTATAAGTATATAAGAGTAAAATCAATGTATAAAAAAAAAAAGATAATGTTGAATACAGTTAAAATAATACCATAGTTAAATCTTAAGTAATAAAGGAATAGTTAGAATAGTTAGTTCTTGTAAGAAAAATACATACATAAACACTCACGCCTGTCACCCAGAGGGGTAGGCAGAGACTACGGACTTCCATTTGGCGCGATCCTGACACACCTCTCTCGCCTCTTTCACATCCATATATCTACGCATACACGCTCGTCGGTTAAGGGTACTCCTAATCTGGCCCATTTTCAATGTATCGCCGATCTGGTCGATAAACCTTCGTCTAGGGCGTCCCTTCCCGACCCTGCCGTTCACTTCTGCAACATAAATTTGCTTTGTCACTCTTTCCTCGTTCATTCTTTCTACGTGACCAAACCACCGAAGCATTCCTTTCTTAATCCTTGTCACAACGTCATCTTGCAAACCACACTTTTCTCTTATTACACTATTTCTCACCCTGTCATTCAGATTCAGCCCTAGCATACTCCTTAAGGAACGCATTTCTACAGCATTTATTCTACTCTCATGCTTCTTCTGCCAGACCCAACTTTCACTACCATACATTAAAGTCGGTACTAACACAGCATTATGAATTGCCATACGTGCCTTAGTTGACACATTCTGACTCCTCACAATAGCGTGTAGGGCCCCATTCACTCTATTTCCTGCGTTCACTCGTCGTTCTATATCCTTATCATATCTACCATCCCTGCTAAATAAACATCCCAAATATACAAACTCATCCACTTGCTCAATCAACTCCCCTTCTATTCTTATTTTACATAAAGTTTTACTTTCTTCTCTTTCAAAAACCATCACTTTCGTCTTACTTGCGTTCACTTTCATACCCCTTTCTTTCAATGAACAATTCATTAAAGTAACCATCATTTGCAACTCGGCCGCCGACGATGCAAATATGACTTGATCATCGGCGTACAAAAGGCATTTGACGGTTGACTCACCCATTCTCAACCCACATTCTTCAACTTTCAAAGTTTGCAAACAACTGTCCATAAATAGGTTAAACAGCCACGGGGAAGCCACACATCCCTGTCTGACACCTTTATGAATGCCAAACCAGTCCGAGTAGACCCCGTTGATCCTGACACAAGCACTAGAGTCCCTATAAAGAGACCTTAATGCCTGTATCAAGCCAGCGCTCAACCCAAATGAGTTCAGTGTTTGCCATAACACGTTCCTGTCCACTCTGTCATAAGCCTTTTCCAAGTCTAAGAACGCACAAAAAACTTTCTGGTTTTTAGCCAAAAACTTCTCCGCTATCATGCGCATGGAAAAGACTTGATCCGTACACCCCATCCCCTTTCTAAATCCAGCTTGCACATCCCAAATTTTTCCTTCAGTTTCTTCCATAACTCTTTCAATTAACACCTTAGCATACAGTTTACCCACAATGCTAAGCAAGCTGATACCACGGTAGTTTTTACAGTCCTGCTGCGACCCCTTTCCCTTATATATTGGGACTATAACGGCTTTGCACCAGTCTTCCGGTACCCGTTTCAGTTCCCAACATAAATTAAACAAGGTGTGCAGCAGGCCTGCAACCACACCCTCACCAGCCCTTAGCATTTCGAGTGATACTCTATCATATCCGGCTGCCTTACCTGCTTTCATGCTTTTCATTGCTTTCATTATTTCATCTACACTTATCTCCCTACCTCTCTCCACTTCTTCCGAAATTTCTATTTCACTTATTTCAGACGACTCTTCACTCTTAAACACGCTTTCAAAGTATTCCTTCCATCTCTTTAAATTCGAAACTTCATCATTCAGCATGCAAAATATTTATATATAATATATATATGTGTATATATATATATATATATATGTGTATATATATATATATTAAATAAACTAAAAAAAAAAAAAACAGCGTTTAAGTATTTAGTATAAATTTTACACATTAGTAAAAAAGGATGCTGCATGTACAGCAGCAGTTTTATACAAACATAAAAAAAAAAACCTAACCTAACCTAACCTAACCTAACCTAACCTAACCTTTTTTTTTTTTTTTTTACATGGGGAAATGCCTACGCATACCCGCCTCGCGGGGGCAAGGACGGGTTATGTCGGACTCGCACCGACTAAAACCCCATGGTGTTCCACCCTCGTCGCATATTGGCAGGGCCACGGGAACGCTTTCGCACACTTCCGCGGCCCCACCTGCGCCGGCCACCCCATGGCGGCCCCTCCTCGGGAGAGGACCACTCCTCCCCCATCTCCTTCTCCGGTAAGGCGCACCAGAACACATGGCGCGCCCTCCTCCTCGGCCTCCAATTTCATATGCGCAACAGACGCCCCCGTGTCCGCTGCGCGAAGGCCATGGGGCCAGGAAAA